TTACTTTGCATCTTTTCTCCTTACTACATCACAATGGACTTTCCGTGGTTGCTAAGGGCTGTTAAAAAAGAGTAAAAAAAAATACATTGTGAAATGGTAAGTTACTCAGGTAAAGTACCTACGCTCACTTTAATCGACCATATTATCTACTATGTGAGTTCTGTGATGCCCAACGCATGCAACTTGCAAGGCCATTCGTCGGGAATCGCGATGCTTGGTTCGTATAGGTAGATAGCATAAACAACAAATCAACCCGAAATACCTACTATTCCAAACAGAAATATGATCGTAATCTACTTAGTCGAAAATCTTGTAAACAAAGTTTTAATTTCAGTATTTTGTGCTATTATAATTTAAAATATTTTAATTACAAAGAGGAGTATAAGTATGTAAGTAGGTACTTGGGTAGTGAAGTAAATTTCAACTAAGTTTTGTAATAAAGTACTTAGGTATTACTTCTGTAGTTAAATTATTACTTAATTACTTTTTCGCTATAAGTACCTATCTAAGAAAAAAATTATATAAATTTGCCTTTCATTATCCTTCGGCAACTCAAAAAATATATCTGAATCTTTTTAATTGTTCATTAAGCATGCATCCCCGCAACAATTATAGTAGGAACAACTTCTTTGTCATATATTATTCGAAAATTACATTAAAACTTTCAACTATTTTATCCTACAATTAAATATACTAAACACTAAACAAAAACTATTTCAACGAGTATTTAAACAAATATTTAAAGAAAATTATTTTCGTAAACAGTGTTAAAAAAACTAAAATTCAATCGTATAGAGCGCGCTAGCTCCGACTGCGATCTACCCCTGGGGCAGCTCGCGATTCTAGCAAGAGTGACAGAGGCCTGGTGTCACTTCTTTAACGCAAGATGAGAGGATAATGAATCAGTTCGTGAGATATTATGTTATTTATTTCTCATAATTGCGTAGTTCACATCATCATTAATTATTAAAATAACATCATAATTTGGAATTTACTACTTTGTCTCAAATCTTTTTTGGTTATTTATTTAGGACTGATTGATTAATTAATGCATTACAGCCTATCAAAAGGCCACTTCTAAACAAGTGACATTTTTTTTAAATTCGTATATTTTTTAATATACCACGTTTCTATCATATATATTTAAAATTTGAAGTTTCCAGATTATCGGGAAGTTAGCTTAAAATAGCTTACTAAATTCCACCAGGAACGATAGACAGACAGACAGACAGACATACAAACAAGAAAGTGACTTAATAAAAACGTGCTGAAATAGTCCTCCCCGTAGACTGTAGACCAATCATTGATCATTGAGGAAATATTAAATATCCGCATATTGTAGTAAAATCAATGTAACAACAACCTGTTATGTGCCGTTGTGTATCAATTCTAAAAGCGTTAAGAACGCAAGAATAGTTCTTTTGCCGCTGTAGTTAGTATGTCAAATTTCGAATTATACTTTTCACGTACCCCACAACATTATCAAAAGAGCATCGAGTAGACTTTTGACATCGTGTGAAATTTAAGCCTAGCGATTTCTTCTATGACTCTTGTCTTCGGCTCTATTTTTGAAATAATTTTGGTCATTGACTGCTCCGACTGCCAACGCAGTATGCATACAATTTCTAGTTGAAATAAACGCGACAACTTTTCAGGGATTCGACGTGCATTGCAACATATTAAACGAACATAATTTAAAAGTCCTCCCGCCCGGCACTGTCGCTCGTAAAATGCGTGTAGACAACGTTAATGACCCACCGCTATCCTCACGTGCATTCCGGGACTTCGCTAGCTCGTAAACCTTGTGACATTAAATGAAAATGTGTTTAATGTTTCTTTCACTTTTTCTTTCCTACATGATTTTCGAACAAAGACCTTACTTTAAATGTTTTATATGTGAAAAGTAAAGTAACTAACTAGTTTGTTCCCTTTTTGGCCATGAATCACCAGTTTTTAAGAGTAAACTATATCTGTAATTGTCGTCTTACGGTTCGCCTTTTAGTATGGCATATTTCCGTTGTCCGATAGGAAAACGGAATTTTATTTAAGATATCTTTGCACGCCTCATAACGCGAAGCGTTATTAGTTAGTGCATTACTCTCGACAAGTCAAGGTCAAGCAATTTTGTGGTCTTAAAATGTTACTATCATAACCATATTGCACTTATACGATAATATAATTGAGTATGCAAGTGCGAATCAGAACGTCGACGACTGCGTATGGGTCGCAGTTCGTAGCTGATCGCCTGTCTTCCAGGTAGCCTTTTTGCTCCTTCGCGACGGCGTGTGGTATTCTTATGCTGCTACAGCGGTTGGCGACACCTAATAAGAACATTAATAAATATATAATATTTTGAACTCTATTCTCACTACAACAAAAATCATAAAATTACAAACGGTATGATAAAGTTTATGTCTTAACATAATATCCTTGGCGTCCTGTTCGCGAACCGCGGATTTAGAGTTCATATTCCCAAAATGTTAATTGGCTGTCAAGTAAACATTAGTATTTTGGTAACACATACCGGCACTGAAGTCGTTAATACTGGCAGTTTCATGAAGGCGGTGAGTCTTCGTTCGTTGTCTTTACCCCCACGCGGGTCATACACCTTGACGTGCTTCATGTGCACCTTCGACAGTTTGTCTCTATGGCCTTTTCGATTTCACTGCAACAATCAATTAATGATGCATAAAACTAAGGCATTTAAACTTTCAACGAAGAGAGAATTTATTAGCTATAGGGGGAATGGAATATCAATTACATAAATGTCCATGCATTTGAATATAGATTACAAAGTTCATAATATGTTCTAAAGTCTATATTTTGCTGTCATCAAGTTGGCTTTTTTTTATAAAACTGAAGTGAGAAACGAATTTACAGTCGACCTGATAGTGAGTGGGTACTGCAGTCCATGCACACCTACAGCCTGGAAGTTGCCAAAGAAGCCTACAGACGCATTGTCACTTCTGCGGGCTAAGATGGAAAGCCTCACCACCTTTAATTATACTGGCTCTATATTCCCTTCAGACTGGAACAGCAGTGTCAGGACTGCTAGTTGGCGTCAGGAACTGGTAAGAGGTTAATGCCTGCCAACCCAGACTAACTCTTAGGCTGAACGAACTGAGGCAACGAGCAGCTGGTGTTTGCTGTTGGCATGTTCTCCCCTTACTCCTCTTACATATTTAAAATGCGTGCTAATTAATGTTGCCAGAGTGGCGTCTTTCCCGGTTTTATGAAGTTTTATTTTATAATATTAGTATATACTTTTTAATAATAATTAAATTAAAATAAAACAAAATTAAAGGTCTCGCGACATATTAATAGGTTTTTATGAAGTTACGGCTGCTATTACGAGGATGTCCTGTAGGATCGAAGACGATTGTTGCCTTAGCAGATTATCAATCCAAAATTACATTACCGAAAGTGTCTAAATTTTTTAACCTCTAGGTATACCTATTTAAATTTCCTCGTAAAAGATAAAATTATTAAATATTAGTAAAATTATTTTTTAATACATAGGTTTATGGTTACGATTGTTTGATCTCGCGCAATAATCAACAATGTTTTCCTAAATACCTCAACTCGAATTGCGACCCAGATGATGCAAAATACTTATAAGCCATAAAAACTGAGCGAAAGTATGTTTGCATGTCGCAATTTAATATTGGAAATAATTGGAACATAATTTAACAAATACATAAATTATGTGCCTATGCTAAATAAGAAAGAGAAATTGAATTGAAATTCCAATGAAATCATAGAGTTTTAAGGATAAGGTAATAAATAAAGGTTCTGTTATTTATGGATAAAAAATATATTGCGATAAGTTTCAGTGGAAGGAGAAAAAAGATCGATAAAATAAAAACGTTGACGTTGACAAAATACCGTTACCTTTGTAGCCTATTAAAGTACACTCACAGAGTACCTTTATATATACTGAAATAGAGACCTATCTTCGACCTTTAAAATGGCAACGCATACCTAGCGCCATCTCTTACCAGAAGTAAGCAACTGTTGCTATATATATATAAATAAAACTCTTTATTATGTTTACATGATTTATTAAAAAAAGAGCGCAAATACAATTAATTATGAGAATCAGTACATATAACACTTATTTAAAGTAAATATAGAAATTAATGGATTATTTGTATGTCGGACATTAGGATCAACAAGATGATCTTAATGTCCGACATACAAAGTGAAAAGCGTGAAACAAAGGTAAAAACAAAATTAACACTTCCAATTATGTAGCTAAAAATTATAGGTTATATTTAAAATGATAAGCGTCAAGTCATTTTTGGAAATTATACAAAGATACAATAACAAAATTACGTTCATTTGGAATTGCGGCACTTTGTGAGACATTTATGTTTAAATTTTATTTTTTGGTGCAGTTTAGTTTAATATGCGACCAATTTAAGTCAGCTTTTGCTATTTTCTATGGTAAAATGGTCAACGGAATGAAAAAGCAAGAATGAGACATATTATGAAGTTGTACCAAAATCCCGCAAAACATTAAGTAGACTAAATTGCCCGAAAATCCGTAGTTGGTATTCAAGGTAGATGGTACCGGAAAGGAAAAAAGTTTGACTATCTACAAAAAAAAATCAGATGCCATAAAAACTTAACTTGTAAAAAAACCAAGTCTCGCAACTCAGATCTTCTACCGTAAAGTTGTCAGATCCATGTAATACCAAGTCGGTTAATTTATTCAGTCCCTACTTAAGGCCCCTTCTGTCAAAAGTTATTACGTAACTAGCTGTCCCTCGCGACTTGCCCGCGTGGAATTTACTACGATTTCATGGGTTTTAATTTTTTTCGCGGAACCCTAATTATTTTTCAAAAACAATAGTATCCTAAGTCATTCCTTATAACATCAACTATCTGCCAGTAAAAGTCCCGCCATAATCGGCCCAGCCATTTCGGAAATTAGCCGGAACAAACAGACAGACAGATAGACAGACAGACATAAATTTTTAAGTTTTTTTTTTGTTTTTAATACCCTATATACTTTCATATGCATTTAGTAAAAAGCTGTTATTTTAACATTACAAACAGGCTGTTAGCTAACCTAACAACAGCTTATAGTGACCATATCCATAATAGAAATCTTTTATGTTTTAAATACATAGATTAACTTGGCAATCGCACTAAACAATCTAATTGTATTACTTGTGAGATACATTGTTTTCATGCGATGGTCAAGTCAATTTATTTATTTAAAACATAAAAGATTTTTAATATTAATATCGTCACTATAAGATGTTGTTAAGTTAGCTAATTACGTAATAACTTGAGACAGAAGGACCCTAAAATAGGGACTGAATAAATTAACTGACTTGGTATTACATGAATCTCACAACTTTTTACGGTAGAACTGAGTTGCGAGACTTGGGTTTTTTTACTAGTTATGTTTTTGATGGCATAGTTTATTTTTTCCTTTTAAAACATTTTTTATGATATTTTTTAGCTTTTATTTGCACTTTATCTTCTTCGTCCTCAACATCATGTCTCCCAGATAATATTCTATTTATTACTTTACAATAATTATAAGTCATGAAACGAATGACAGTGTTCAGTAAATATTCAATTATTTTGTTTCTATGAAAGGCACATTGTATGACATCTAAATCTATTAATGTGACAATAGCAGTCTTTAAAATTTCTTTTAAATTGAGAGCTTCTAAGTTTTCTTTAACAATATGATTTATAATATCTTGTAAGTTTGAAATTAGCTCTATTAACTTATTACTGGGAGAACAAAGCCATCGTCGACCTGCATACTCTCTGTATTTTATATATTCAATTTGTTCATCACTACAAAAGTCAGTATTACAAATAGAGCAATTTTTAAAAAATTTTGATTTTGCTTTTTTCAAAAAATAACCACTGACATATTGTAGTGGTGCAAATACCCTAGGGTCATTTTTTTTCATTTCTACACTTTCTAAATTAATATCTAATATATTTTGTATATTAATGCTGGTCGCCGTAGCTTTAGTATTTTCGTTGAGTACGAAAGAATATAAAGCATTACACAAGTCATTTTCACAGTTTTTTCCTTGGGTGTGGACACTGCTTAAATTGTTAATTAAAAGTGTGGCGAAAGCTGATTCAAATTGATCGCAAGTAGGGTTGTTGTTGCGACAGCCATGGCTTCTCACCGCACTAAAGAAATTTTCTAATGGGTCCTGATTCAGGTGCCGCAACCATACCGACGATATATTATGTTTATCTTTTAATTTCTTTAACAACATTTGAATTCCTTTCAGTGTCCACACCCAATTAGCCACAGTGGGAACAGTTTCTTTTTTACCACTGGCAGTTATGAATGACATTTTTTCAAACATTTGTATGGCTTCCACCCATGTTTTATGGTGGACAGAATTAGGCGTTACTGGACCCAGTAAGGGTTTAGCATATTTGTTCTTTAAATTACTTCCATTGACCGAATCGAATATGTTGTCCATGAAAATTAAAAGATCCGCCGTGTCCTTGCTTTCTGTGGGCAGTATGTTCTTATCTGAAACATGAAATAAAAACTATTCATAACTCAGTTTGTGAAAGAGCCAGAATATTTTCTAAAGATAATATTCTGTTGACTATCTTAAGAACGGTTACAGGAATTACATTTGAGTTTGTAAAGTTGAAAAGGTGTCATTTAGCAGTCATACGTAATAACTTATCTATCTGTGATTTTTATTATTATCCACTAAGAATGGATTATAGGATGATATTGGGAAGTGCCGTAAATTTTCAGTCAATGACGCTGTCTAGAGAAAAATTCGTCATAACTACACTCCATATTTCTTTATATATAAAAAATTAAGTGTCACATTGTTTGTCCGCGATTTTCAACGAAATTTTGCACACTGTGCGCAATTTGGTCCAACTTGAGAGATAGGATCGAAGATTTTATCTTGATAAGTGACCATCAAGTGTGTTTGTGTGTTCGTAATTCTTCTCCTCTTAAAGGGGTTAACTGATTTTGATTAAGAATTTATGGGGTCAACTGGATGGTTTTTAGCTATAGTTAGACCCGGTAGGTGACGCTGTTCTCGAGATCTAGATATCATCCGTACGAAGCCGGAGTGGATCACTAGTAATGGGAAAAGAGTGGCACTGTCATAAAATAAAATGAACCAAACATTACCTGCTAAATATCCCATGTTAGATGCCACAGTACGACTAAATATTTGAGAGGCGAATTTCACTTTCATTTTATTTATTTTTTCAGGGTTGACGTGATTTTCAGTCAATTTAGGGATCAATTTGATACCCTTGTAACCAGGGTTTTCATTATATAATAATTGTAAATGAGACCATTTTGCGGTTTTTATTATGCCTTCTTTAGTGTAATATTCTAAATTTTTGGTAAGAAGGTTATTTCTTATTCCTTTGAGGAGGTGTGGGGGGTCATACAGAGGAATGACTTCTTGTTCATTAATTAAAATTATATTTTCTTTTGGTTCCTCTCCTTTTCTTAAATAAACCCCTCTGGTCTCATTTATCAAAAGTTTAAGAGCCTGTCTATTATTGGTTCCCTGATCACATACTGAGGCCACCACTATCAACCCCGCTTCTTGCAATCCTTTCACAACCTCTTTTATTTGTTTCGCCAACTCCGGTCCCTTGGTTGCACTCGATGAAAATGTGTAAGAGACTGCCTGTTTGTAGTTATACATTAGACCACGCACCATAAAAACTTGGGCGTGATCTGCAAATTCAGCCTTTCTTTCTTGCCCATTATCAACAAGTCCTGATATTTTGTCTTTTCTCTCTTGATATGTAATATTGGCTTTGAGTGAAATTTCGTCGAACAAAATAATACATAGCTTCTCTTGGGGTTTCATTGATTCAGCTTTCGTCTTCAGTTGTGAGAAAATATTACTATTAATTCCAGGCATGAGATTACTCATTTGTATTAATTTAATAACAGTTTGTTGAGCAGGTAAAATAAAAATTTTCCTGAGGAATCGATATCCTTTGGGACTTTGCTTCAAAATTGATAAAGCAGCAATTTTTTCCTGTAATGTAAAACGGCGTCCTTTCTCCTTTTTTCGGTCCTCACGCCATTGTAATTGCATCAATAATTTTGCAGTGCTTGAGCAATTTTCGAGGACATCTAAGACAGCAGGATTAGTTACCAATTTTTTTGCAGCTTTAATGTTGGCTGCCTGTTTCTTAACTTTGTTTTTCATTTTACTAATTTTTATTCTTGCAGCTACAAGTTTCTGTTGTAGTTCTTTTTCTGCCTTTGTTAAAAATCTATGTTTGGTTTTTTTTTTGGCAGCCTGTTTTTCTCCTGCAAAGAATGGAATAACAAAACATGGTTAATATATTATACCACATATAATTTTCTGTAAGTGTATGTTTAATAAAATTAATACAAAATTCATAATTTTAATATTTACAATTTGTTTCAAAATTAAAACAAATTTATGTTTTATTTGTGTTCAGTCATTACTATATTAATGATTAATATGACACTTACCTAGGTTTTGTTCCATACTTTTCTCAGTCACTGGAAGATTTGAAAGTGGTATATTATGCTCATGCAGCATCAATGTATCTGGATCTGAAATGCGTGTGCACTTATTTTATTTTTGATATAAATTTTCCACACATAATATATAAATTATCATCCAAGTTAAGAGTTTAGTGTTTTCTGACTTGAAATTAATCATAATCGTAATTTTTTCCCCTTAAAAAACTATAATAATACAATATGAAAATTAAATTAAAGCACAAGTGAAAGAGATAGGTTTTAGGACTAATGTTAGATGTCATGGATAAACAAATTATTTTAAATTATAATAACTTCATGAATCTTATTTTGTAACTTTAATTTGCCGATATTCTGTAAAATAATGGATGCATGTTAATCAAAATTGATTTATATGCAAGAACTTAAATTCAATTTGAATGTTGTTGTAGTTATACTAAGCCTGGATAGAAGATATGGATCACATTGTATTTTTATTTTGTAATCTTTTTTCCATTGCATTAAATGATTATGATTTCTGATTAATGCCTATGCATATATTTTTTTTGAATAAGCTGACATAATATGAAACAAAGTATCTGTGCCTCTGCCTGTGCACTATTTTCATTGTAACTTCTGCACAGATTTAATTTTGGTTGTTACTAATGAATAGTGTTTCTGGAAAAATGTGGATAATAAACTTTTACGAAGACAGTAATAAACCATGTGATGGGTCAGATAGAACATATAATAAAATATTGTTAAGTAAATGTAACGTTTTTTTTAATGTTAAGTGTGACATAAAAAATTATGACATCTTGCTGAGCTAGGTGCACACACATTTAGTGTGAATTGTTTAAAAACTGTTAACACCATGATCCCACTAGACAAGTCTTTATTTAGTAGTAACCAGCAGCAAGCAAATTCATATTATTTATTTTGTGTAGTCAGAAATAATAAAGTACAAAACCACAGTGTACTTACCTATATTTTCTTTGTGTATGACAACTTTTTCAATGTTCATTGATGTAGGCTGCATATATGCACAATGAGTTGAAATGGGATCTAAAAGAAAAATACATCAATAAATAAGGATTAATTCTATGATAATGAATAATATAAGTGATGATCTAATTATATGCAACAATTAATAATATTATTGCATATATTTAATTTTAACTATTCAGCTGACATACTGCAGCTCAATTACCTGATGATTTTGACGGCTTTTGTAGGTCATGAATTTGTTGCAGTGGCTGTCGTTTAGCAGATGTTCTTTTTAGTGATAATGGTGCTGAAACAGAGAGGATAAATACTTAAGTAGAGCCACAAATAATAATATCACAATAAATACAAACATAAATACAACAATGATAGCTTTGTGGTATGACTTCAGGAATAAATTATATAAAATATATATACTTGCTTAAAATTCTCTCTTAACATAGAATGATTGATATAAAATGGATATAATAAACAAACCTGGCATATTTAAGGTTGGCACAGCAATGTTGCTAATTTTGTTGTTGCGACATAGATATTTGTCTTCAAAATGTGTTCGACACACACGGCGATACTTGTATATGCGCTCATTTTCCAGATTTAAAATGTCACCACCAATTGCATATAACCATTTGTTGAACCGTTCTCTATCCCCTTCAGGGTTTGGGAACTTATGAAGTACTTGATGTATACCTAAAACACAAATCATGTTATCCTTAAAATTTTAAAATAATAAAAAAAAGGATGTAAGTGGCAAATGTACTAAACAATCACTAAACAATCTAATTTAATATAATATGTATTACTTCTGAGATACATTGTGTTTTCATGTGATGGCCAAGTCAATCTATTTATTTAAAACATAAAAGATTTTTAATATTTATATGGTCACTATAAGATAGCTTAGCTACTTACATAATAACTTAAGACAGAAGGTATTACATGTATCTCACAGATAAAGATAAAGATACATTTATTGCATAAATGTGTACAATATGATCTTAATAGACAAACATATATGTTTAGTCTCAACAGTTTACCCATGTCGGATATGCAACAATGAAAAATAAATTTTAAATAAACTACAACTGTGTCTAAACCAATTTTATTTTCTATTGACCGAGTTCAAGTGTTAGTGGTTCGTAGTATTAGATTAGTTTTATGTTAGTGTTGTGCCTATTTATAAAATAAAATCATAAACTTTAAGATTAATGATTGTAGATTGTCTAACCACATTAACCTTCGAAGTAACAATCGGTTTTCGGCTTAGCTTTCCATTGACGTCAGTCGAGTGTGGTGTTGATACGTATTTTTACAGAAAAGTTACACTATTATAAGCACACACACAAAGTTTCAACATGCGGAAACGTGTAATTTTTGAGAAAAGAATTATTGAAAATCAATTATTCTTGCAATGTTTATGTCTAATCCTACCATAAAACTGGCACCATTTTGTAATGTCATTGTCGACGTCAATAGGGATGTACCGATTCTTTTACGAAAAATGTTGATTTTTAAATCGATTCAAATCGTAAGCTGATGTATCGGTTCACAAAAAATCGATTTCTAAAATATCTATATTTTTTTAATGTTTCTATTTATAATGTAAATATAAACCCATTTTATGAAAAACAAGAAAGATGATAAATGATGTCTTATTGAAATTTGTTTTATTTAACAGTACCTATTAGGGCAGATAACAAATAAAATAGGTTAGGTTCAACTTATGTCAAATAACCGAATTGATTGACCCCGACTCCACCTGGTACAAGTCTGTCCTACCCCTAGAGTGGTTTTATAGAGCCGAAGGCACGTAGGGGGAGCAGCCTCCGCCTGCTGTAATAAATCGTAGGCATCGGACAAGCCGGAGCGGCTGAGGCTGGTTGCCGAAGGCGACCAACAAGCCGAAGCTGCGGAGGCGAGGAGGGATGCCTGCGATTTGTTACGCTAAGGCATAGAGGCTGCTCTTCCCGCAGCGCCGGAGACGTAGCAGTCTCAAAATAGATACAGAAATCCTTCTGAATCAGTCCCCTTATTTTTTTATGATGAAGGGGATTTTTTTCTCATAAAATGGATTTATATTTACCCCTACTGACAATAATAATAAAAATGGCGTCAATTTCACGGTAGGAATTGACTAAATATTGCAAAATTATTTGATTTACAATATTTTTTTCTCTATAAGTACGTGTTTCCGCGTACTGAAACTGTGTGTGTGCTTATAAAAATGTAATCTTTCTGTAAAAATACGTATCAACACCAAACTCGACTGACGTCAATGGAAAGTCTTTCCCGGTTTTCAATTGTGTCTATTTTACGCGCCTTGAATTGGGACATGTACCATAACACACAATTCACCAAAACTTGGAACAGTTATGTTAGGTTATAACAAAGTAATTAAGCCAATATATACCTTCAGTATCCTTACATCCAGGAACGCAACAATGCTTGTCTGATGACATAGTGATAACAGTTAGGCAACACTTAACACAAAGGTCCTGTCCCAAATAATACTAAACAACACAAGGAGTCCTATCTCAGTTCAAACAACTAACGATTCACAGTAACTTGAGCTCACAGTAATATGAATTAACCGGAGGAACAAAAGCTCAACTCAACGGAAAAATAATAACTAGTGTACTCACTGCACTGGAAATCACAAAAATATCACACAAATAACACCGGCGCAAGCGATGGCATCTGCGGACATGTTTTAATTTTATTACATTACATGACATTTGAGTGGTGTTGCCATGCTTGCCATCATCTGTCCAACTGATTATTCCCTAAACATTTAATTAAAATCAAAGAATACAATTAAATTTCCTTCGAAATCAACTAAAACCTTCTAAAGAATATTAGTATTGACATATTTGCTATATATGCTTCCCTTAAAGATGTATAAAATATTCTTGATAAAATTTAAGCTACCAGATTTTGTGGGACAATTATTAATTCAGCAACACTCTTTACATAGCCAGTGATCACTATCTTTTAGCGACATCTATCAAAATGTAGTTCAAACTATGACAATAACTCGTTTCTTAATGCTCAAAAGCTGCCATCTGTTTCTGAGAGTGAATAACTATATCAATATAATGCGACTAATTTAAAAATAACAACATTTCGTGTCATCTAAAAGTACTCGAAGTGCTTCATGATTTTGCTTCTTTATAATGTTCTGAATTACCCGACTATTTGTTCTAAGATTGACGACCCTGAGTACACTGCTGAACATAGCCCCCCCCCCCCCCCCCCCTCTTCCCCGGTGATGCAACTCTGTATGAAATCCGAGAAACTTGCACACAATCATAATTTTATCTATGTGTCCATTGGGCGTGTAAAATTAAAGCCAGAAAAAGATATCGCTGTTTCTTTCTTTCACATTCTTTCAGATTGCCAAATACATATTATTTCGGAATAAACTGAAAATGTTAATTCTGTGTTAAAATTTTTTTTTTGGTTGCTGCTTAGAGTATAATCAAACAGAATATAATCACTTGAGTATAATTACATACATATTACTCTGAGATTTGCACAATTAATTCACCTATTGATTAAAATTGAATTATTGAATATCAGCAGAATTCTATTAAAAGAAGCCATAAATTAAAAGACGACAAAAATTACACTTGTTTGTCAACGTCTTTCATATTAAAATATTTTCTGAAATTGATTCAAGTTTGGATTTTAATATTTGTTATTGCCATTGAGTTATATGTACTACGTACTATAGAAGCCATTCCAAACAAAAATTGTGTCTTACTCTATGACTTCGCGCATGCGCGGGAGTAGTAGTCGACTCGTCAAGACTTTAATTTGATATAAAGTAAGATATTAATATAAAATAAATATAAAAATTTAATATAAAATATCTTAATTTAATCTAAACAAACATCTAAATAAAATGTAATAATAATTATTTTATGGAATTCACAAATCTTCAATTTACGCAATATTTAGTTTGTATAGATTGCAGTACAGTTCAGTTGAACATAGTCAATGTTTGGAATGGCTTCTCTAGTACGTAGTACATATAACTCAATGGTTATTGCGTTTTGTTTAAATTCACTTAATATCGGTTCCGAATACTTCATTTTTGTTTGTAGGCATTTGTATGCGATTGTGTGTTTAAAGATTTTTTATGAGATGTTGACTCTGTATGAGATATAGACTATAAATTAATTTATTATTTAAAATTTTTATGCACGATGTGCGATCAGAATCGGCAGTACAGAAGTAAATTAAACGTTGTGCAAACAAAAAGCACAAAGTCATCTGGTCACTTTCTGCAGGTTTCCTACAATAGAAGAAGAAAATCTTTTGACAATATTGTGGTAAGTCTGAAGCATTTTGAATTTATTTATCGTTATTTGTGGGGATTATTACTATATTAACTCAAATTTTATCTGTTTCAGATCAAGTATTTGGGATGAATTAAGTTTTCTTTTTTCTTTAGTTAACTGTGAGAATTTTACTGATTTTAATTTACGTTAATGTTCTGTGAAGAATAAATCTAACGATAACATAGGTTATAAATCAATATTACGCGTGGAAATACCTTCAAAAGCAATAAAAACAGCAATAATAATATGTATAGTGTATAAAACAATCTCTTCCAAAAAATAAAATTACACAATAATACCTATTTTTAGTTTTATTTTATCCCACATACTCCTCTAAAGTAAATTCGAGTAATTTTGGTGCAACCTCTCAAATGTATGGGAATTCACCCAATAGGTTTGTAAGGCTCGAGCCAAAATTACTCAAATTTGTCTTAAATAAACAAAGTTTAAAGGCTACAGAATACAAGGGTTTGAAATTCCCGCTAAATAAGTTTTATATGGGCGCCCATCGTGGCGCTTTTAGTATGCACTCATAAACACGTGTTTCCTTTTTTTTTTAGTATGAAGTTGGCGTTCTTCTTTCGGTAGAGAGTAATTGTGTTCTGTGGCCTCCCCTATAGATTGCTTCATAGGGGGGATATTTGTCATAGTTCCCACACTCGGCAAGTGGGTTGGTAACCGCGGTTTTTTTATTTTAGTCGTTATTAGGAAGACTGCTGTTCATCTCCTGATTTGTTTCTTACGACACCCACGGGATGATATGGGGTAGTGGACATTCTTACACCGCCACTACACCGTACATTACAACAACCAATACTCTCTTAAAAATTTGTGGCTGTGATATAAATAAATTCTAATATAAATGGGGCCGGTGCCCATATGTATGCATGTACAATACAATACGCATGCACAATGTTCGTATCGTTTCTTTTTAAATGCATACTCACATAATACCGTTCTCATCCGTCATCTTCTTCGTAGGGAAGTGGGTGTGAGCAACGGAACCGTTCCAGTCCTGAACCGGCTTAGATCGAAGGTGACAATGACCCCGTACTGCTCGGCCAGCCTGTGCAGAATGTACCGTTCCATCCACATAACGTCGACCGCCGTGACTCCCACCAATGGCCCAGCTTAGATCTCCCGCTGAGAGGGCATCACCTCTATAGAAATTACATCTATAGAAAATATTGTATTTTTTATGGTACTACTTAACCGAAAAAGCTAATGTTTTTAAATACAAACTAATCTAATCTTTATGTGTCTAATATAACGGAACATTTTAGCTGTCATGCACATTTAATGTGTGCGGAATGTATACATTTAAAAAAACAAATGTGCATGCCTTAAGCACCCAAGTTTTTATTAATAACCTTATTACTTACTTCTATGTCTAACGTATATATATTATAATAACGTAATAATTGTATGTCTACTATAATATAATTATATGTCAAACGTCAATGAAAACAAAGTTTGGAAAATCCAAAAATGCACGACTCATATAAACGCTCATATCGCACGCTTAATAATATACTGACCTAACTAAAAGAACAGTTTTTTTGGGAAATCGCATAAAACCTTTTTGGTAATCGTGACTTGTCTTACATAATACCCTAAAACTTAGTAAAAAGCATAATAATAATGAAATAATATATTGTAGAAGTAGTTGATGAACTGATTATTGATACTCAAATGATATTAAGAAGAAATTTTGTTTTTAATTTATTTCTTCAACGTTTAAAAATGATGTATGTGCTCAGTGTGTAGATGACATAAGTCTGTTTACTATTTAAGCCAATTACTACTAATGTCACATTTTTTAGTAATAAGTCTGTATTTTATCAAATATCTACCTAAATATTTAACATTCTTGTGTATTTCGTCTGTATTGGATAAAATAATAAAACATTTTTCTTAAATATTTTAAGTCTTTTATTGTGTAATTCGGCACAAAATGAAATCAAAAACAAAATAAATTTAGCACATTTTTTGAAATCACCTACTTTTTGTACTTATTTCTGAAAAAAGTATCTATTATTATTTCAGTTTAAAAATTTAAGCTACTACCAAGTTAGCTTTATAAATTCAATTTCAAAA